TAGGGCTGAGCCCTTCTGCTAAGCATTGGAGAAGAAAGGGCAATAAATATGAGCAGAGCCACAACAGGGGTGGAAAAAATCTAGTTTATGGATGGAGGAAACTTGGAATGTAACACCAAGAGTTAAACTGAATAAAATTCAAATGACCATTAGCAAAAAAGTTCCTGGGAGTAAAAGGAAGATGTCTCCAGAGCTGTAACTGACACCAGGGCAGACCTTTACCTCCAGCACATTTTGCACCAATAAAACAAGGAGTCACAAAAGCATTCCACCTCCAACTGCCAAAACAGGTTAACTTGTCCTAAGCACAAGCCATAGGTAGGGCTCTGCTGACAACACCGATACTGTACAGGCAACCAACAGCAAACCCACGTGTTTAAGGTCTGCCTTGATGTTTTGAGCTCAGACTCGCAATCTGCATCCAAACAGTGGCATTGCCCAGGAAATACCTTGGTGACAACTTTGGTGCCACCTTATTTAAACCTTAATTTAAAATGCTAACTTCATAATGAGTGGAACAAAACTGTGTAAAAACATTTCCCACTCTAATCCTGGTTTGATCCCCCCCAGTATGGCCTTCTTTTGTAATTACATCCCTTTGTGATCTCACTCTAATGCCTTGTATTGTGACCCATAAAATAATCAGCCCCCTTTGTCTCTCCCTAATCCTTTTAGACTTCCTTCTTGTCTCTACACTCTTATAAATGCTGCCATTATTTGGGCTCAGCAGCTCTTCCCACCACCCCAGAGCCTGGAAAGGGGGCTGCAGGTTAAACCCTGAATATATTCTGTGCAGAGGAGCTGAAACGATGGGAAGATCTTTGCTGCTTTAAAATCCCTGTTGGATTCCCAACCTCATCCTCTAGCCACACAGCTTGGCAGGGAAACAACCTGCAAGTTTGCATATGCACCAGCCCTCCCCACTTCTGTATCTTGCTGATGACCCAAAGACCTTTGGCCTCGAGGCCACAGTGGCCAGTGTGTTTGTGGGGACAGCATGCTTGTCCCCAGGCTGGGCAAGGGGAGCTGCTGCTGTCTGCAGGGATCAATGCAGAGAGGAGTCACAGCATCTGCCTTGCCCAAGCTATCAATCCTGCTCTCCTGCTGGCAGGGTAAGTGCCATGGACAGCCACACACAATGGGATGGAGGAGCAAAATTTGGGACAGGATGCAGAAGGAAAGAGGGTGAGGGAGAAGAGAAATGCACATGGACGTATGCTGCTATGCTTAACTACAAACCAGTCACCCTGCAGCAAGACATAGTGAAGAAATGTCTTTACAAGCTCAGATTTGTCCAGAGTTATTATCAGGTCCTGGAGTACTTCAAATACTGGGCAGGTCCAATTCACCAAACTTCAGGAAATCTCTTTGGCTGTAAATTGCACCTTTGCCTTAATTCCCCTTGTTTTTTTTTTTGTTTTTTTTTTTTTGTTTGGTTTTTTTTTTTGTTTTTTTTTTTTTGTTTGGTTTTTTTTTTTGTTTTTTTTTTTTTGTTTTGTTCTTTGGGGTTTTTTAAAGCATCAGATCAAACAGGGAAAATTTCTACTCTCAGGCCAGATACGTGCAGAGCCTGATCCGATACCCAGTTTGATGGTGATTTCCAATTAGTGGTAACTGCTTGTTATTGAGTGATATAATCAATGGGTCTTACTCACTGGCTGGGCTGTGATTTATGATGATGTGGAGCCAGGTCCATCAAATTACAGCATTGGCAAAAAGAGCTGGAAATGCCATGAGATGACACGATTAGAGAAAGTGAGGCCAAGTTAAGCAAAGGGTGGTGATGACAAGAAAGGTGGCTGTGTTCTGGGGAGCCCACCTTCCTGAGGAGTGGACTCTGGATGTTAAAATTGCTGAGAGGGTATCTTCATCCACAGACAGCCAAAGCATGTTCAGCTTCTGGCATGCATAGGGGAAATCCAGCTCCTCAGAGACCTGTGAAAACACTGCCAAGCGGCGCCTCCAGAGAACACTCTGACTATGAAACTGATTTTAATTAAGACAGCTCAGAGTCATGCGAAACTACGAAACTGTCATTGAGAGACAGAAAAGATCTGTATTCAATAACCTGATCAGATTATAAAAATATGTTGCATTCCACAACCTTTTAAACTAACACACCAGGGTTTGAACAGACACAGAAACAGCAACTGAAAGAATTCCATCCGGCGTGTTAGGCAGAGGGTAGAAATGCTGAGGGCCTCCCTGCTCAGCTCAGTCACACGTAGGCTTCTTGCACACTTGTGCTCGTTCAAAAAAAAAAAAAAGTTACACTACAAAAATATTATCAATGTTTTCAGCACCTGACCAGCCAGTCCACAAACCACCCAAGGTCCGCCTCCTTCCACTGAGTATCTTTGATTAATAATGGCAACATACAGAAATACCCTGGAATTTAATGAAATCAATTTAATCAGTTAATTTTTAGGAGGAAGGGTTTAAGATACACCCGCTTGGTGAGGAAACTGCCACCACCTTGAGCTCATCAGGGCTGCACGCGCAGTGGCTGAGAGCAGCATATTCTTCCAGTTAAATTTTACTCAATGCCAAGTGTTGAAGTAAATTTGAAACATAAAAATATGATATCCAGCCCACATTTCCTGAATGCAAATATGTACATTCCTCCAAGCCAAGAAGATTATATTCCAAGCAATAATACAAAGCCAGGGTCTGTAACGGTGATACGAGACTAACAGCCTGCCTTTGAAGACAGCGAAAAGTGCAACAGAGCTCTCGAGGGGCTCCGCTCTGTCAGATCTCTTTTATTCCTCTGTAGCGTGGCCTTGATCAACTTTCAAGATTTTTGTTTGTGAAAGGTTTTTATTTCTCCTTTGCTTTTGTGTTCAGATGTCAGGCTCAGAGGGAAGAAGAGATCAGCACTGGGATGAGGTTTTACCCACCGGCAGTATTTACTCTGCTCTGCAAAGGTCTGCTTAGCACTTGGGGTTTTTTCCCTTCCAGGCAGCCAGCACCCATTCCTTCGATGCAAAGGTCCCTAAAATGGGGATGATTACCCTTCTCCTTTGACTTGCTGATTGGGACTTGGAGCAAAGAAAATCACTGTCTCTCGTGTGTAACCACCCGGAGACTTGGGGGCTTGTGATTCATTCTCAGGAGATTTCATCTAAGATTAAGCAGAGTCCTAAGTGCAAGTGTGTGTTCCTGTGGCTCAGGCACAGCAGGGGAGCTTGCCCTGAGCAGCAGGTTACATTTGCCCACAACATCCTGTTTTAGTCCCATTATCTGCACGCACCTGTGGCATCAAGGCCCAGCAGGTGGGGTGGGGGGGGTGCAAGGGGGCCTGTTTGTGCTGGCTTCACCCAGACCTCTTCTCAGAGCTGGCAACAAACCAAGCCTGAAGCTAGATTAGAGTCCAGAGCATTTTCAACATGATCCCTTTTTCATTTTGATTCATGTGAAACTATGGCTACAAAAGGAAACACTATTCAGGGACACACAGCACATCACATACATATTGATGTGGGAGCCAAGATAACAGTGTTTATTGACAATCCACAATCTCAAAGGTAATTCCTCTGGCTCTCATGTCTCCAGTTTACAGGTCCAAGAAGTTTGGCATTGTGCTTGTGCATGAGTCTGCTTCCAGCTCATAAATGCCAGAGCTATTCACCAAAAGTGCTCCAAGGTTTAGCACCACAAGACTGACAAGTCTGAGATCCAGCTGCTAATCTGGCAAAGCCCCAAAGCCCTTGGCTCCTGGACAATGTCACTTCTTACACTCCTGAAAAGCTAGGTTTGCAGATGGCCACTTCATGTACTCAGAATTGTTATACACAAGGGCTGGAGTGTTCCCTTGGTGGGCTGCCAGCCGGCCCTGGCACTGCGGGGAGCGGGCAGCAGCGTTCCAAAAGCCCCCCCCAGTTTGGGAAATGCACACAAGACCTCAGCCCCAGGCTTTGCCCTAAACTTTTCCTGCTTTGCACCAAAAAATCACGGTGATATTTGCAATTGCAACAGAAGCTTTAGTAAGTTGCTTGCACAGAAAGAAGAGCAGTAGCCAAACAAGCTGGAGAACCCTTCAGCAAAACTTAACAAACCAGTGTTCTGCCAGGTCTCACGGTCGTACCGCACACCTATCCTCACACTCACATAGAAATTACATCCAGCAGCAACTTCTGGTTGAGTGCAAAAAGGATCAGTGGTTGCACTCCCACGGCCCCCAGACAGTCTGTGGGCAAAGAGAGCCACCAACACAACATGGACAGAAACCACCATGAACCCCCCAGCTCTGCTGGGTGTCAGTCCTGGGACAAACACCAGCCAGCAACCAGAGCTGACAAGGGAGAACCAGGAGATTCAACAGGACCAACTGCTCTGGCCAGGGCAATGTCAGGTAGTGTGCAGAGCTGGAGTCACAGCCTGCCCTGGAATTCTTCCTCCCCCACCTTTAAATTTCATTCCCTCACTGGCATTTTCATCTCTCTCCTCCTCCAGGCTCCCCCATCAGACAATCTGTCTGGTGTTGTTAGCCTTGCCCCCAAAGGCACTGCCATGCCAGGTAGTAAATAAGACCTTGCTGCCTCTACACTGCCAGCATTAAATAACAAAATGAAAGATACCATGACCTTCAGGAGGTCTTTCCCTATGGTTTGGGAAGTGCTGCCTGCCAAGCAGAGCCCAGCTGTGCTGCACAGCAAAGGAGCTTCCAAATTCACCGCAAGAGATACACAAACCACAGACCACTTCACCACATGATTTTAATGTAACTTACACCTTCAACACAGAGAATTTGCTGTTAGAAGGTGGTTTTTAGTTTTCTACCCAAGAAAGCTGATGAGCTCTTCTTTCACATTTGGACACCTACACAGATTAAATGCCAGCCAGATTTTGACACCAGTTCCAGGGTTTTTCTTTGTTCCCTCTCTTTAATCCCCGCTCCACGAAAACCCAGCACCCACCATGCTGCCCCTCCTGCTTCCCAGCAAAGCCCCTTGTGGGATTGCCCTGTGAGGTGGGGGTGGGACAGTGTCTGTACTTACTTGCTGCCTGAATCTTTGCCTTCCGGCTCACCAGCAGCCCGTAGTGGTTCTGTGCCATGCAGTCGTACTCGCCTTCATCCGAGGACCCATCTCCCCGGACCCTCTGGAAGCGGGACACGTAGAGAGACCCGTTGGCCAGCATAAAGGCATTCTCACTGTCCACGATCATCACGCCATTCTTCCGCCACGTGATGGTGATGGGCTGGATGCCCTCCACCTGGCAGTAGAGGATCAAGGGTTGCTCCTGCACAGCTATGTCATCACTAGGCTCCACAACGAATGCCAGCTCAGAGGAACGGCCAAAATCTAGAATGAAGAGAGTAGGGCAGAGTCAGCAGCATGTCCAGGAACAGCAGCAAGAGTCAACTGCTACGGCAGGAAAGGGGATGACAGAAACGTTTTGAATGTGTTACAAAGTGCAAGTGTTTCCGAGAAACACAAAACCCACAGGAGGCAGGCTTTGCCTCCCAAGACTTTACTCTATGAACCTCAGGGTACAGTTTCTTAAAACACAACCACAGGCATATCCTTCAAGGCTGCCTTTGGAGGCTCCAGTGAAGGGGACAGGCAGGCACACCCCTCCAGCAGCTTGCCAAACCCTAGCTCCACTCCATGCTTCCCTGAAGATTGCCTCTTCACGTCCCTTTGCAGGTGTGCAGCATTAGGCAATCAAAACTTGCACAAACACAGGGCATCATCCATTCCCAGCCCAGGAGCAGAAGTGCACACCAGTGCTGGAAAGCCATTCCTCTCCCCACATAAACAGGCAGAGGGGCTGTGCCGTGCCCCAGACCCGTTTGCAGCACAGCCGGCAGGGGTGAAGGGGGGATCAGCAGCTCCCGATCCAGACCATATTGCCAGAGGCATCTTCCCGACACTTCTCCCGCTTGGCAGAGCAGGAGGCTGTTTGCCTCTCGCACGCAACACCGTGCCCTTCTGTCGCTTTGGTCTCTCTCATGCTGTAACAGGCAAAGCACGGTGCTATTCAGCCCTTAATGAAGAGCAAGTTAAGCACCAAAATACAAATGCACAATGTTCCGGCTCAGCCACACAAAAGGTTTCTTGCAAAGCAATTATGCTAAACGATGTCCACGAGAGATAAGTTATTGCAGAATTTGTACCAACAATAGGCAAACCCTCACTTCCCATGACACAGATACGTCCTAATTTACTTCTTTTGCCACAAGAACGTTTAAACGCTGTGTCTTTGGCACATTATGCTTCACTTGGTCACAGCACACCTTTTGAGGGTATAATTTGCCCTACAGTCATGTTCAGACACTACAGAAGATGACAGAAATAGAACTATTGCTTAAACATTGGCCAAAATATATGCAGACATATGAAAGACAAAAAGAGACCAAGAAATGGGAGTTATATAGATATTTGAAGGCTATAAATGCAGGGATGGAGGTGAAGTGGGTTTTTTTTAAAGAGGAGCAATGGTGAAGAAATTCCAGCAGAGTAAGAAAACTACAGTTTCATCCAAATATGGAGAGAGCCTTTCCAGCAGTTCACTTCTGCACTGGCCCTTGAAGCTGGGGGTTTCCCAACCTGTGATACAGCTTCTTTCCTCTTTGACAGGCTCAGGGGAGCCAACTCCACAGATACTCACAGAATTGGGATGCACACAAGCAATATCTCTTGGCAAACACCAGCCACAGCACAGGCTTTGTAATACCTGTCCCTCATACAGATCCCACCAAGGACAGGATCCCCCCACATTAGGCTCAAAAGCAGGGTGGAGGGCAGACTGTTAATGCAGAGTAAGAATAACAGAGATGAGAAGAGGCAGTTGCACTAAAGAAAGAGAAGGAAAAAAGTCTGTCTTTTCTGCTCTGCAAACCCAGTGAGATTTTTTCTTTCTTTCTTTCTGTAAATCCCCACTGCTTTCTACGGCAACTTAAATTGGATTATGGGGGATAAACACTGAGTGCAACCTGAGCCGAGGCAGATGGACGGAGCAGACAAAGACAGCAGTGGTACTGCAGGGCCAGGCCAAAGGTACTGCCAGCGAGGTATGAGTGTGTGCAAGGAATGGACAAACCCCACTTAGTGACAGGCACCTAAAACACACACTTTATTAACCCATTAAGTCTTAAAATGTCAGGCGAGCTCCAGCCATCTCGGTGATCTATCGCTCACTGTGACTCCTTTTTTATGAGATAGCCCTGGGGTCCTCTCAGCAAGTCAGACTGCAGCCAGCACAAACCCATCAATTACTTTTTTTTGGTGAAAATTAAGGAATTAGATGAATGCTCTGCATTTTTCTGCAAAGTGGCCAGAGTCTCAACACCATGCTGGGGCCCCATTCCCTGTGTGGGTGCTCTGGTGAGTTAGGTAAGATAAGGACCCTTGCATCCTCATACTGAGCCAAGAGGAACTTGTGACTCCAGAAAATTGAAGATTTCAGGATTTAGCCTAATGCGCAATCAGAAAAAAATCCATAATTAAATAAATGCCCCATCTTTCCCCAGCACCCCTGTACTCTTAGATAAAACAGCTTATTATTATATGTACAATAAAAGGAAGAATCAACATAATTACATGCCCTTCCCACAATTGCTGTCATTATAACAACCATCATTAAGGCCTGTGATTGGAGATAATCATGTTTGCCTCCATAAACATTCGGTCTGCATCCTCACTCCAGGCTGCTCGAACTGCAGGAGTGATGATGTTTGTAATTAGGACTGGGGGCCTCAGACACTTGCTGGAGTGGGGACAGACACTGGTCCTGGGGTCTCCTTGGACTGCACTCAAGAGCAGGAATGTGCCTTGAGATGTGACACTGTGCAACTGGTTTGTTACCCTTAGACACCTTGCAGTGTCCAGAAGCACCCAAATTCCAACTCAACTCAGGTTTTTCTCATGGGATGCTTATCAGACTTGAAGAAATCTTGCTGCCTCCTTCCTGGAGTTTCAGGGCCAGGTGACCAACTAATCAGATGCATGGGGAAAAGCTTGTTCACCCCATGTGGGGATCTGGGAGAAGCCAAGCTCTGTCTTTCACCTGTCTCAAAGGCAGACTCTGAACACAGAGAGTCCTCTATTCCCAGGATGCTCAGGATGAGAGACAAAGGGACAGATGCTCCCAGAGGAATCTCCATGGTGGGACAAGAAGGTTCCTGGTGTTTGCTCTAGAGATCAGCACAGAGGAGCCAGAGGGAGAGCACAGACAAGATAAGGAGGCAATGGTGGGAGAGAGGAAGCCACCCAATTCCATCAGCATAAAGAACTGACTGCAGTTACCAGTGGGGCATAGAAATGATGCTGCAAAGTTGGAAGTAAACGACACTCCAAAGGCACATGGAAATAGTAAAAGTGCAATTAATTGAGAGATAGCAAGGAAATTGCTGAGGCTGTGCACATTCACTCAGGGAGTCTGAAAGTCCCATCCCTCTCCAACAGCTGGCTGTGTATCCAAACCTCTCTAATCCCACACAACATCCCAGGTCCCTCCCAAAACGGACGGCATGGCAGCATGGCTCACAGCCACTCCCTGCTCGAGGCAGGAACTGTACAACTCTGCTCGTGGCAGCTCGAGTTTGCAGTTGGAGCCGGGGTGTCAGGCAGGCAGCTGAACAGCCCGCTGACACCGGCAGCGCGTGAGGGAAAACTGCTTTGCTTTCTGCAAAGGGATGGAGGGAGGAAGCGTGATTAGCTCTGACATAAAGGCCACAAGAAAATTACTGGAATCCTCATTCTACAAGTCTCCTTTTGAGAAACATTTACCATCTCCCTGTGCAATATAATATGTGACTATATGTGCAAATATTTAACAAAAACTACTTCCCCTATTGATCAAGCAAGCCAGGCATACTCAGAGAAACCAATTAGCACTTGTGCTTTTGAACCAAGAGATTTATTTAGCGTTGAGAGAAAGAACTTCGAATTAATGGGAAGCTTAAAAGACACTTTGAAGTACATTTAAAAAAAAAATAAGTTTAATTATTTTTTACTTGACACTGTGATGCACATTCAGGGCTTCAAAAGAACTCGCTTATACCCCTGTATTGTCCTTTTCCATTTGGGAAACATGATTTTGGCTTCCCCTCCTGTGCTTCAGTGACTAATGCCACCGCTCCAATTAGCGGTGACGTCCATCGCCAAGGACCTCAGTCACATCCTGGCTCATCCTCCTGGAGCCCATCCAGACCCGCAGCCAACAGGGCCATCCCTGCCCTGGGAGCACGTGGTCCTGACAGATGAAGCCCATATTATTACTCCTGTTCTAGACAGGGAACATTAATCACAGAGGGATGAAATAAGCTGCCAACGGCCCGCTCTGAGCTTGTGGCAAGGTGAGATATTGTGGGAGTAGTTGGGTCCCACTTTTCCTGGTGCAGCATCACTGGGAGCAGTGCTGGGGAGACCAAGGTAGCACCAGCTCCTTCCTCATCTCACCAACAGCATGACATCCACCTGCAAATTGCATCACATCAGCACAAATTTGCCCCCTTCTGATTTATTGTGTTTATTCCCAGCATAACACAGCCTTAATCAGCAGCATAACCACCACCAAGGATAACCACTCCAGTCCTGCTCCAATAAAGCAAAAGAAGATGTGCAGGACCAGAGGATTTTAGTGGGATTTCATAGATGAGTATCAAGACCAAAAACCTGGATGCAGGTTGGGTCATGAACATGAAAAATAGCTCCTGCTTTTCCAGTGGTAGGTTGTTTTTCATTCAAATCCTTCTGCAAATGGAAGGATATGGAAGGAAGAGATATATGGACCTGAAAGATGTTCTCCAACAGATTATAACAAGCTTCAGGCTGATGAAATTGGCAGCCTAAAAATCCAGCTGGTGCCCTCTTAAATCTCCTTGAGCCTGACCCAGACCCTAAGGAGAAAAGCACTGCACTGCAGTAAAGTGCAAATTGGCTCTTTAGGGCATCCAGAAAATTTACATTTAAAGAAGAGGAGAATAGGCTGTAACAGGCCCCACATCTTGCTGGCAGTAAAGTTTACTAGCTCAGAATTTTTTATTCCCTTTCCTTTTGGATGGAAGGTTATATAAAGCGATTTTTCCATCAGGGAGCATAAACCCCATCCACTCATTAAACGATTGCAGGAGGTCTCTGACCTCCTAACAGAGAGGGATAACACAACCTCTCAGCCACCTGACGGAGAGCCCAAAAACACCCAGCATCACTGCCCTCACTGGGGACACTAATTTTAGCTGAGGAAGGCAAGGAGCATGAAGAGCCAAAGAAGTTGCCCCAAATAATTTTCAGATGTTTGAGACCAGACTGAGCAAATCCCAGGAGGTTGCTTGTTGAGCACTGTGGAAGCTGGAAGCATTCACAGCACAAAGAGCCTTTCTAGGACAAGCCCCAAATCCTTGTGGGCTCCCCCATATCTAAAGAAGGCAGGATAAAACCTGTTGGTATAGCTGGAAAGGGCAAAGACCTTTCCTGAGCTAATTACCCACAGCAGTTCCATCCACAGCGAGGCATCCTGAGAGCACGGCAGCAAGCAGAGCCCAGGATGCACTGTTATTTGCATTCCCCATGTATTTCACAGCCCTGACTAGATCACAGCCTCATCACAGAGGGCATCAGCCACACAAGCACAGAGCAGGAAACAACCGTGCACAAATACAGAGCAAAGGCACAGCCAAGATGGGAAATGCTGTGCCAGAGCCAGGGTCCCCCAGGCTTCAGCTCCCAAGGCTGCTCTAACGCAGGACAGGGGAACAGCAGGTTCATTCCCTGACCCTGCAGGAAAGCATCAAAGAGGTGGCTGTCCCCACAGCCAGGCCCTTGCACAGAGCCAGCAGGAAATGGACTGGCCACTCAGTCAGTGACAGTGCCCGTGGATCAGAGATGGTGGCTGGCATGATGGCACAAGGCTGCCAGAAGAGCCACAGGCGCCTCGGCATCACAGTGCCAAACCCCACCAGCCAACACAGCCCTGCCACCAAGCCCTTGAATTTCAGCTTGAGTTCTGGCAGGCAGGGATGGCGTGCAAGGAAAGGGAAGGAAAGGTCTTTCCGCAGGAAAGTTAGTGTGCACATGACACACTTTGAAACTCTTAATTGTATCCAGGGGATACAATTAGTACCAATACAGTTACAAAAAGCAAACTCAGCTCTCTCTCCTCCCTGCCATCCCCTATGCCTTATCACCTCCCACCCTGAAATTCAGGATGGAGGAAAGCACAAGGAGCTGAGCACTGCATGGATCCCTGCTCGCTCCAAAACCAGCGCCTTGAAACACAAGCTCTTCTCTCTTTTCACGTACTCTCAGGTTTCAGCAGCAACGACCCTTCTGCAAAAGCATCTTCACAGCTCAGCAGAACCATTCAGCACGACCTACATCCCCTGACTTGCCATCAGCTTCATCAACACAATCTCATGTGCAAGAACAACAAAAAAAAAAAAACAGGCAGCAAATCCTTGACTCCGCTCTGAAACTCTGGTTTTAAATTACCAACACGGAGCAGGTCTGGGTTGTTAAGTGACTGGGCTGCTCTCGAGTGGAGGGTGCGATACAACGCTGACATCTGATATAATGGCAAGGCCAGCTCAGTGTGCTCGGTGCTTTCCTCGTGCACTCGCCTGTTTGCCTCTTTCTTCTCTTAAAGTGCAATTATTGACATGTTCGCCTTCTTAACCACCAGTTTTATAAGCTTGCCAATGACTCCTGAACATGTGCAAACAATTATTTTTATTTTCTTGCAAAACCAAAATGTTGGATATTCTTTTGGATAAGCAGACTCGGGTAGATTTTCATGAGCCCTGCTACGTAATTTATTAGTTTCTAAACTCTGTAAAACTAAAAGCTCCACTAAAGTTCAAATAAGTTTGTGATTTCAAAATAATTTTGAATGGACTATTCCTGTTTCTGACTAATGTTACACAATTGATTTAAATGGGAATTCTTAATCTGCAGAGGTAGATTCTTGCATTGTTTTGTTAATTAAATAAAATGACAATATCATGGGCCAGAAGCCCAGGAGTGCAAAGCATGAAATGTTGTGGGGAAAAGGGACCAAGAAAAAAGCATCTTCTGTCCCAGATCTGCTGCAGGCTGCAAAATTAAGTACATGATCTGCTCATCCCATGGCTTTGGAGCAGAGTCTAGGGGTCTGTGAAGCAAGAGCTGGCATTGCATGGGGTCACTGCTTGGCACTTCACACGCTGTGACACAGGACCCTTGAGAAATAAGGAAATCAGAAATAAAAAAGTTCAGGCAGACAGAAAGAGGGAGAGAGACTTTCTCGTTTGCACAAATAAAATGAGAGCAGTTTTGCAGCTCTCTGCCAGGCAGTGCTGCTGCTGAGCTTAACCATGCTGGCCAGTACCAGGCTCACAGCATAAGGGCCAAAACTGGGATTGAACACGATGGAAGGGAGTGGGGAGCCAAGCAGTAATCCTGGATCTGGGATTCTCTGCCCAGATCCTCTCCCCTGGAACCCCCTGCAAGCTCCTAAGTGAGCATGGAAACTTGTTCTGTGCCAGATCCAGAGCCTGACAGGTAACAAGAAGCACAATTACACCAGCTTAATATTTCTAACAGCCTTGGCAGGGGGTGGTGGGGCAGATTAGAAGGAGAGCAACCTGTCCTGTTGCCCCCTCTCCCACCTTGCTTTATACACTTCCAAATTTGTTTTTGGCATCATGGTGGCCCCAGCAGGCACCTGATTGCCATGAGCACGGGTGGCTGCACACTCACACCCCCGTGGCAGCTTTGCCCCGAGCACAGGTCCCAAAGGTGGTGCACGCTGATATGGCTGTGCAACGCCTGCCCCATTTCATGGGCTGCCTGCTGCCTCCACGCGGGAAAACCACGTCCTGAGATTCTCCTGTTGAACTCCCGAGAGAAACGAAGCCCAAACGTGGGCTTGAATTTCATACCGAGTCTCTGAGCGTTACTGGGGAAATGATACCTGATACTCTCTATGTATATTAAGGAAAAAGACAGGGTATTACACCAATTTAGTAGAAAGCAATCCGGTTTTTTTCATCTGAAAAAAGACAACAAAGCCATACAGAGTAGAAATTAGTGAAAGCTTATAGCTTCAATAATTTAGAAGTTAAGCCTACTTAAACATAAATGACGATGTTTAATTCCAAGGCTGTTACTGAGCAGAGCCGGGGAGCCTCTCGTATCCTATGCCTGCCTTTGAATGCCGGGCTCAGCAATAACAGACAAAAGCTGTCCACCACCCAGAACAAAGAGCTCCAGGAAATTAAAAAAAAAAAAAAAGAGAAAGAAAATACTGTCTCGCTGCTGAGCCCACTCCCGCACGCTGACCAGCAGCTCCCAGTGCCTGGCTCACAGTCGCCAGACCAGCATTTTGGGGAGTTTGAAAACCGCAGGGCTGGGAGTGGAGCATCGTGTCCCGCACAGCGCGGCACCGCTCCGACACAGCATCCCCGGCGAGGCTGCTCCGGCAATGACTGACACTGACGCGGGAGGGTTTATTGAACTCAGCACAGCGCACAAACGCGTTACCTCGCTGTTAACCACGTTGAGAGCACAGAAATCCAACGGGGGGGGGGGGGGGGGGGGGAACGTCAGAACCAAAAAACTTTGAAAGTGTAGCCAAACACTCCTCAGCAGGGCGAGCAAAACACACCCCGAAGTCAGGAGCCACTGACCCGCCGAGGCGCAGCATAAACAAACACACGGGGCAATTTGGACAGCAGCAGGCGATAACCTAGACACAAATTTAAGCTGCGAAAGTTCTGCTTTCAAGTATTCACCTCTTTTCCTCTCCTCTGTTCAAAAAAGAAAAAAAAAACCAACCAAACTTCTTAAACCATCCTCATTGTACTGCTCAGGAATCTTGACATAATAACAAGACCTGCTTCGTTACATCCACCTCACAGATCACTTCTATTTTCCGCGAGTTACACTGGCTTCTCCTCCTCGCGCAGTTGCTACGGACCACGTGGCGAGATTTATGATACGACTAACCCACAGCTTTGCTTTCTAAACACCCCAGCAGCTAATCTTTGATAAATCTAACACACACTTTTCTCCCTCTGAGCATGCTGGGCTGCTTACAGGGTTTTAAAAAAATAATTCACAGAACAGACACAGAATAGTTTGGATTGCAAGAGACTTTTAGGACTATCTCGTTCCAACCCCCCAAAATGGGCAGGGACACCTCAGACTAGCCCAGGTTGCTCAGTTCCTACTTTTCCTTCTCTAGAAGGATGTTAAAGAGAGACTAGAACAGGATGCACACGCGTATTTTGCTGCAGAACAGCATCTTTGTCAGATTAGACCCATGCATCACCAGTGGAAGAAAAACACTGCCATTTATCCGCTGGACATGTGCGCAGTAAGTCCAGGGAAAGCTCTCTTTTGATGTTTTGTAGTCCGGCCAGGTGGACTGTGCTACCAATGCGAACAGAGCTGGCGTTACAGGAGAGCACAATATATTTGTAGGTCTGAAGTTGCTCGCCCTCATCCCTGCAACTTGTCTCCCAACATCTCTCCTCTCGCTCTCACAGCCTTTGCTGACGAACGCGACGCGTCCGTCGGGCGCTGCCTCCCGCTCGCTCCGCGGTGACGATCCCGGCGGCTCTTACGATCCGGGCACGGGTGGATGGCCAGGCACGCCACTGCCCCGGCAGCCACCACACCCCTCCCCAGCGCCAGCAGTGGGGGCTCGGGCTCCACAAACACCACCGTCCCTCCCTAGAGACCCCCGCACAAGGGGTTTCCAACTGGAAGCACAGCTCCTGGGGAGCACTTCGGGATGGGCTGGGGATGAAGGCGCTGGATGGGCTGGTGCGGGACTCCGCAGCCCCAAGCCACGACCCCTGCTCGCCTCCCCGGAGGAACGCGCCCCGTTCCCGCGGAGGGATGCTGAGCCGCGGGGACCCTCACGCCGCACCGGCGGACACACGCGGAGCTGCTCGGCCCCGTCCAGCCCCCGCGGCGGCCCGGAGCCACGGGGAAGGGCAGAGAGCGGGGCTGCGAGTGACCGCGGACGAGCGAGGGGAAACGGGACCGGCGGCGGGGATGGCGAGGGACAAGGGGATGAGCAATGCCCTGGCCGTCTCGGGGGTGATGAAGGGACGCAAAGTGCTGGAAGGACGGACGGACGGACGGACGGACGGAGCGGCCGCGGGGAGCGACGCCGGTGCCGGGCGCGGCGGCAGCAGGTCCACGTCCGCGCCCCCTCCCGCTCCCCCAGCCCAGCCCGGCTCTTACCTCCGCGGCAGACAAGCAGCAGCAGCCCCAGCAGGCAGGCGGGCAGCGCGGAGCCCGGCGGAGCCATGGCATCCCGGGCGGGCGGGCTCGCCTCCCTGCGCCCCACGGGGAGGGAGCAGCCCGCCGGCAGAGAGGGAGGGAGGGGAGGAGGGAGGGCGGCCAGGCGAGAACCACCCCCAGCTGTGGGGCGGGCGGGAGAGGGGCGGGGGGGAAAAAGGAAAGGGAAAAAAGGGGAAAAGCGGCTCTCAGCGGTGCTGCCCTCGGCGCGAACACGCCGCCGCGCCGGGCGGGCGGGGGGCGGCGCTGAGGGAGCGGGGCCGCCGGCGGGCGGGGGGCGGGCGGGCAGCGCCTTGCGCCATCTTGCGCATTCGCCGGGGCGCCGGCAGCGCTGGCCGGGCTGAGAGGCGGGGGTGGCTCCGTGAGGGGCCACTCCGCGCCCGGGACCCGCGGGGAGTGTGCACGGAGCCTCGTGGGTCTGCCTTTACCGGAGTCCCCTCACGGCACTCCTGTCACAGAGCTCCCGTCACAGAGCACGTCTCAAAACCCACTCACGGGTCGAGCCTCACAGATCTCCCCTCATGTGTCTCGCTCACCAGAGTCCCTTCGCGTTTCTCCCTTCACAGGAGCCCTCTCTTCAGAACCCACTCACGGGTCTCCCTTCACTGGTGCCACTTCTCGGGGCTCCCTTCACAGGGCTGCTCTCACCGGTGCCCCTCACGGAGCTCCCTCACACCGAAGCCCCGTCACCGGTGCCCCCTCACGGGTCTCCCCTCACCAGAGCTGCTTCAGGAGTCTCCCCTCACCGGTCTCCCCTCGTGCACCTCCCTCACTACAGACCCCTCAAGGGTCTCCCCTCCCTTCACCGGAGCCCCCTCACAGATCTCCCCTCGCCACTTTCACTCGCCGGGGCTCCCTTCAGAAAGCTCCAGGGATTACAGGGATACATCAGGGGGCTTCTCCTCACCTGTCTCCCCTCACTGGGGCAACCTCGCAGGAACGCAGAAGAGCTTGGCTTGTCCCACCTCTGTGCTCCTGATTTTAATGCTATCCTAAGTGACTTACCCGAGTCAGTAATGCAGGTGTTGGACCAGCCTGCTCACCCTGGAAGACGCCCCAGTGAGGAAGGACCCAGTAAGGGATGAGTCTGCTCCTAAATCCTTCTACAGCAGGATAATTTGTTTGCCCTCCTGGCTTGAAATAAGGATAACGTGTTCTTACAAGGCTCTCAGACCCTGTGCCCATGCAGTATTTTGTGCCTTCCAACTGATCCTACCCTGTCCCTTGGCCCATGTTCTCCACAAACATAACTCATATCGTCACTTTTAGCAGCAAAAGCCATCTCTGCAAAGACAGTTCAGTGGTGCTTCCTTGGCAAAAAGGAACTAAAATGAAATAAAAGTCAATCCTAACTGATTTCTTTCTTCAGACTAAAACCAGATTTTGTGGACTGGGTTACTAAACCACTGCTGGGTTACTGTAACCATTCCTAGAAATCTGGTGAAAAACCCTTTGTGAAGAGGAGCAATGTGAGGCTCCCCTGGATGGTGCACCCTGAGCGTGTCGGAGTCGGCTAACGAGGAAAGAAGACGTCACTACATCTGCTCCACATTAAAGCTTCCTTCGTTTAGAGGAGGATTGAGCTGTACGAGGCTCCTTTCAGCTGGGGAAGAATTTGCTCTGGCTCCACCAGCCTCTCGGTAACATCTGAATTTCTGTGCTGTCCCTGACCTTTTGGCACCAGGCGTGCTCTTGCTCCGACTCCCTGGCTCCTGCCATGGGGCCCCATCAGCATTTATGTAACGCTTGAAGCCATCATGGACTTGTGGCTGCTATTACTGAGGATGGTTTGTGGGAATTAATAATTCCAAGAGAAACTGAGCACGATGTGCTTTACAGGGCTGCTTTCCCTGTGAACCACAGATTTTGTGTGTTTTTGCTGCCAAGTGCCCTGACAGGACCCAGGAGCTGGGGGAGGTAGGTACACGTTTAGGGTATCACCAACTTCACCCCCACATCTTGCAAATGACACTGGTGACAGCACTGGTAGCACATTCAGAAATCATCACTACTCCAAACAATAGGACTTATATGAAAAACCATGAGATCTTTTAGGGAATAGGCAGGTTTGGGGCTTTTGGAGCCACCTAAGAGCAGGAATTCAGAGCACTCATGTTTTTCTACGCTCTGTAAGCATGAGGGCTTAGAAAAGTTGCTTTGTACTGGAGGCAGGAATTTGCTTATCACACTGTGAGCAGAAATCGGAGCCTTTGGAAAAGCAGGAGGGTTGCAGGAGTGACAGTGTCCAGCCAAAATTGAGGCTCCAAACCCTTTCCTGCAGAGCAGACAATGGGTCCATTCCTCTGTCCCCCCTGCTGCTGCGGGGCACAGGCTCTGTCTGTCCATCTGCCCTCCCTCTCCACAATGCCCTCTGAGGGCATCACTCACTCCTCACTCCCTGCACAGCAAATTTCCATCAGCTCCAATCGTGCTCCTGATTTACACCAATTAACTGCAAACTGAGGTCCCCAAGACACCATTAGTAGTTTCAGTGGATGAAGTGGGAGATTAACTTGTCTGAATTCACTCCATTTATTATTCTACGTGTAATTGTGGTTACCCTGCCTGCTAACAGTCTGGGAGCTTTTCCCTTATGTAGGTACATGCAGGGTTTTAGCATTTGCTTCATGGTCAGTGAGCAACAGGGAGCAGGAGCCAAAATTGTGGCACCCATCTTGAGGCACTGAGCCCAGAGCCATGCCAGCAATGCTGGGACCATCCCAGGACCTGCTTCTGGAAGCAGCAAAAACTGTTTTCTCTGTGTTGAGAATCTGTGAAGCAATCCTGGCCACGTCACTGCATCACGCAGCCCATTGTCTCGTGCTGTGCCATGTTCCAGAGGGCTGAGCTGGGCCACACACTGCACAGGCAATTGTAACTCCTTGAATTACCTGAGACCACGAGAAACCCAAGCTCACTGTAGTGTATTTCCAGCTGCATCCTTACACAGTGTGTCAGAGTGACAAGGGCTGGGAAGAGAAAGAAACGCAACCTGACACTTTGCTCTTCACTTCTCTCCTGTAAGTGCCGTGTCCGTCCATCTCTGGCATCCATTCCATCCATTCCTCTCAGCAGCCTCCAATCAGCATCCTATGCTGTGAAGTGGGAGCTGGAAGAGTGATTTGCAGTCACCCATCACTCCCTCCAAGGTCCTTCCTTGCTCGTTTGTGGGGTTACCTATCATTAGGAGAAAGACTCATCAGAGTTACACAGTCTGACAGAGTTCCCTTTAACCACTATCAGAGAACACTGTGCTAAGTGCAGATTTATTACCTCTGTAATGCAGATAAAATGAGATTTTATGGCTCTGTAGTCGTGGCAGCATAAAGTAATAATGGAAACTATGTACTGAAGTAGGGAATGCATCCCAGGAAGAAGGGAGATGCACGGGAGGTTAGCAGTGTGTCCTTGGGCACTGGCAGGTATCCTCTCACCAATCCCGCCGGGCACAAGCCACCCAGTGCTCAGCCCAGTGTGCCATCCAAGAGAACTCTCAACACCCATTGCTAGATGCCTCTGCTTATTTTTACCATTAAAAAATTCCCAGCAAGATGAAGCATGAAACTGGACAAATATTTTTTCCTACAGGAATCAGCTCAAAACTGAGAAAGGAGCAAGCATCCAGAAATGCCTAATGAATCCAAACTCTGCTCATGTCTGAAATTCCAGAAGAATCCCTAAGGAACCAGGTACCCACTATCATCTCACAATGCCAACCTTCATGGTGATGAGCTCTGGTACTGAAGTGGTGTGAGCATGAATCCTGCATTCTGCTCCCACCACTGCTTCCTCAAACAGCTGCAACAGACTTAATTGTGAGAAAAATTCCACTGTTTTTAAAAAACATTTTATTAATAACCCATTAGTTAAGGAATATAAGGACAATGTCTTACACTTTAACACTAAAGAGTATTTGTGGAGTAAGAACAGTCTCTGAAGAAAGAAAGTTATAATAAAGTACAGTATGGAACCAAACACAGACACAACCTTCAAACAAGATCAAGTTCTGGTTACACATCTTTATGCACTGTGCAGAAAATTAAATTTAACTTGAAAATACAAGCAAGGGAATACAGTAACAGAAGTAGATGGTAGATTTCTGCTGGTTAAACGCTTCCTTTCTAACAAAAGTATTGATTAGAAAAGACACAATGATTCCTTTAAAACACCTATTACTAATGAGATCAAAACCATATACACTGTTCTAGTAAAATGGTTGTTTTCTTACACAGCAATATTTCATGGGCTGATTGTTAGCTAGTAATGTAAAAAATTTCTCAAACTCTAAATTAGAAGTTATCTCATTTGAACTATTTAAACCAGAACTTTGCTGCCTGTTAAGTAAGAAATCAAGTCAACAAAAAGCTGATAGAGGATTTTATCTGAGTTGCATGTTTCATGTAATAAGAAAAGAAATAAAAGGATGAGAATTCTGACTCTCACAGCAGCATGGGGAATATACAGTTGTGTAGCCAAACAGTAACATTAATACTAGAAAATTATGCCAGTGAGGCAAACCTGACATTTTAACAATGTAAAACAATATACACCAGCAAAAAAGTTGAACAGTAATAATCTTTAGTGTTACTGAAAGGAAGAAAAAGGAGAAAGGAGCCTGGTGTGCAGGAACAGATATTAAGCATAATGGGTAATTAAAGGTATCAACAGTTTGTGTGCCTGTGAGAAATCTGCAAGAAAGCTAGTTATTTCATGATAAAAAAATATATGCACTGGTTGTTTCAGCTTTACACATCAAATGTGTATTACGTGTCTTCGATTCACTTCCAGCTGAGACTGAAAGATCCCTGCATGTTCAGGGCAGGGGAACCTGGGGCACAGCTGAGTTGGACAAGGACACCCAGCACTCTGTGTGGATGTGTGTTCATCCAGGGAGAGCTTCGGTGCTGCTGGTCAGGGGTGACCCCTTGGCTCCAAGAGAACTGTCTGGATTTCTGCAACTCGGGTCTGGCTGACCAGCCCATGGCCACCACAGTTCTTGGACAGCCAAACACTGCCCAGCTTCACACCCTGGTACAGTTTGGTGAAGTGTAACGAGATCAGAA